GAACTGTGATGCACTTATATTTTATTTTATACTATATAAAATAAAATAAAAACATTTCAAAGAGTAGTGCAATATACTACCGTGCAATATACCGTCAAAAGTTTGGAATAATTACAATTTTTGTGAAAACTGAGATACACAACCATTTAAAGGTCTGAGGTACGATATAAAAATAAATAAATAATACTTTTATTCATCAAGGAAGCATTAAATTGATGAAAAGTGACAGTAAAGACATTCATAATGCTACAAAAGGTTTCTATTTCAAATAAGTGCTGTTCTTTTGAACTTTCTATTCATCTGTGAATCCTGAAAAATAAAATGCATCACAGTTTCCACAAAAATATTTTGCATTAATATTTCATAATATTACAGCTTTGACTGTTTCTTTAAAAATAAGTACATAAATCAATCAATCTTTCCCAACTGACAGCGGTCTTTATAAATTTAAAGCATAAATTTAATAATATATTAATTTCACAATTTGGAAGGAAATTCAAAAGGAAATCATAATAGTTAGGGTTCACTGATCACAGGTCTCTCAATCTCCATGGCAATAACAGCTGCTATGGGTCGTAATTGAAAGCAATGAGAAAAAATAGAACAAAGAATTTGGAAAAGAAAACAGAGACGAGGAGAACACGAGGCTGTTAATGATGGATGAGCCACACAGACCAACCACAAACCTACAGCGTGATGATTACTGCAACAAACATGAAGATGAAGAACAGGAAATAACGACTTTGAAAAAAATAATGGCTATACATTTTTTTTAAAGAAAACCACGACTGTTTTCAGAGCAGTTCCACACACTCCCCTGTCTGTGATTGGCCAGTCAGACAGAAAGTCCCGCCCCAAACTTTTGACACATCTGACACTCCACAAACCAGCTGAACATCGTCTAAAGCAGATGTTCCAGAGCGCAGAAGATCAGGCCGTTCTCTGCGTCTGCTCTGATAAAGCCAGAAAATCCCTAGAGCTGATGAGACGAGCTGCGGACACACACACACACACACCTCACACCCTGATACGCCTCATACGCCTCTCTCCGGAGCTGATGTGAGTCTCAGGAGCTCATCCGGATCCACTGAGATCTCAATGCTCAATATGATCGCTTCACAAAATAAATTTTATTGCGTGTGTGTGCAAAACCTGCTGCCACAATGATAGAGCACCTGCTGGGCATTTCTATGTGTTTTCTAGGGTGTTCTGAAAGGTCGTCAGAGTGTTGCTAGACAGGTGTTCTATATGGTTTCCATGGTGTTGTTAGGTTGTTGCTAGGGTGTTCTGAAAGGTCGTTAGAGTGTTGCTAGACAGGTGTTCTACATGGTTGCCAGGGTGTTGTTAGGTGGTTGCTAGGGTGTTCTGAAAGGTCGTCAGGGTGTTGCTAGGTGGTTGCTAGGATGTTGTTAGGTGGTTGCTAGGGTGTTATGAAAGGTCATCAGGGTGTTGCTAGGTGGTTGCTAGGATGTTGTTAGGTGGTTGCTAGGGTGTTATGAAAGGTCATCAGGGTGTTGCTAGGTGGTTGCTAGGATGTTGTTAGGTGGTTGCTAGGGTGTTCTGAAAGGTCGTTAGAGTGTTGCTAGACAGGTGTTCTACATCGTTGCCAGGGTGTTGTTAGGTGGTTGTTAGGGTGTTCTGAAAGGTCGTCAGGGTGTTGCTAGTTGGTTGCTAGGATGTTGTTAGGGGGTTGCTAGGGTGTTCTGAAAGGTCGTGAGAGTGTTGCTAGGTGGTTGAGGCACGTTCTGAGTGGTTTTCAGGTTATTGCTAACATCATCTGGATATTCAAACCGCTCAGCATAGACTCAGCTGTCTCACTGACGGCAGACATTCAGCACTGATTTTGTGAGCTGATGATCCAGTGGATAATGACGGCTCTTTTGTTCATGTATGAGACGGATCTGCAGATCTGAATCTCCTCCAGAAACACACTGAGAGACGAAAGACCGAGACGCACTGAGTCACTCAATACTGACGGAAACGGTTTGTTTGTTGTTTATGTGTGTGTTGTATTTCAGTGGTAAAGCTGAAGTCGGATGTTAATTGCATCTCGTCTCGTCTCAGTGAATCTAAATGATGCTGTTTACATGACATTTACCTACTAAACACACAACGATCACAGCAGCTCCTTCACCTCGCAACATTGACAACATTATGCAAATATCACACATCAAAACAACCAGCATCTCAACAAACCCCAATAAAACTCCAGCATGATCACACACACAGTGGTTTCCATGCTTTATGGGTTCATTCCACAGGCGTAGTGGTTTTTCTACTGTACAAACTGTATTTTCTATCCTCTTACTCTAACCCTACCCCTCACACAAAACTACAGGCATTTTTAGCTTCTCAAAACACTTCATTCTGTGTGATTTACAACTTGTTTTACAAGGTCAAAATTTACTGGTATTACTATCCTTGGACATTTGGACCCCATAATGTAGGGAATACCAGTACACACACACACACACACATCTGTCTGATCTCTGTGGTGCTTCACTGTGCTTCTGAATCAAATGTAGAATCAAACTCTACACTGATCCATAATCCACCAGCTCTAAACTACACCGGTTTGTATCAGATGAAAGCACGGAGTTCAACAACCACACCTCCGAGGAAGATCTAGTCACCGGATTTGACCAGTCACAGAGACTGTCAGGCCATTATCTGAACTAAATCCTCCACTGGAGTCTATTATCATCATCAGTTCCCAAACCAGTGCAGACGAGACTAACCTGAGTTCAGTGGACACATGTGATTCCAGCAAATACAGACACATGAAACACCCAAACAGACACAGAGAGACGAATCATTCCAGCACACACACCGTCTGACAGCCGGACAAACACCTTCAGAGCCGTTCTGATCTTAATAAAAGACGCCTGACGTTTAGAGACATTATTCACTGCTGGAGCTGAAGAAACGCCAGAGCACAGAGGAGAAGAATACAGCTGAGGACGAGAGACACTGAGAGAGAGAGAGACGGGTCATGATGTCATCTCTGCACATAAACACCGAGGCTGAAGAGGTCGAGCGAGGAAAACAATCACAGACCATGCAGCGTTCAGTCAACCGCTTTCACATGAAGTCGCACTGAAAACAGTCACACCGTCATAATCTGACAGCGGATCATCCGGCACATCAATCACAGGAGGTGACGTTTCACCCTGTATTGATCTGGTTTGATTGATCTCTGTCTGAAGAACAGCAGGAGACGATCAATGCAGGTCTACAGCAGCGCTACAACATCACAGCAGCCTACAAACTTTACATTTCATCGCCTCCAGTTGAGCTCAGAACATCTGCATGAACGGAGGACGACTGAGACTTAAAACCGCCTGCCAAAACGAGACTTCAAGCAGCACAACAATTCTGGAATAAAACAAAAACACACAAACTGACCACGTGAGCTGCGTTTGTGGTCATACACTTGGAATTTAACGAATAATTTCATATTTACAATGATACAAAATATATACAATATATACAATGATATGGAAATAACATCCTACTTATTTGATTATTTAAATCTCCAGTTTTAAAATGGATGTCATTAAAACTGGGAAAGTTAGCAGATATAAGTTAATGCAACCTCTTATTTGCATAAGGTAAACAAAACTGCTTGGTTCATAATTTGAATGTATATAATTGTATATAATACATATTTTAAAATTGCATTGCATATATGCCATAATAATGGCCCATTCCAAATGTTCACATGCATTCCTTCCTTTTTTTTGTTTGCTTTTGTAAATACTTCCCGCATTTCAGTAATAAAAGTGTGCGTCTTTCAAATGCATGCAAATTACAGCGAGCACATCAGTTACTGTACGGTGCTTGGCAGGAGTCTGGGGATTTTACGCTGGTGGTTGGAGAAAACACTGAGATTTTGGATTTGGACTGCAATAACATCACTGACTGACACAGAAAATGGCTGGCCACATCTGAGATAAAATAACAGACATTATAAGAGAAGCTTTAAAAGGTGTAATATCTCATACACACTGTAATTATATTCTCAACCTCAGAGCGAAAACACACACAGACTGAAGCAGACGACCGCTGATTAATCATTATATTATCATCACCGAAGACGATTCATTATTATTCAGTTTTGCTGAAAGTCACCCTGGGAAAAAGAAGATGTTCAGCAGAACAACACGTGTCCTGAGAAGACGCCATGAGACGCTTACAGCACATTCATCCTCACACAAATACAGCCAATCAGATGAACCGGGCTTAATATGCAGGTATGTGGAGCGGGATGTGGACCAATGAGATGTGACTGTGGGCGGGGCTAACCAGTGCAACACTGCAGAAATATTAACCACATGATCGACAAAATGAAATGTCCTGTCACTTGTCATGTTGACACACAAAAACTTGGGTCTGGTTAACACATACTAAACTAAAACCATAAATTAAAAAAATAATAATAATAATAATTTTTGTAACTTGAAATAGCCTAAACATAAAAAAACTGAAAGAAAATTAAATATTAAAAAATATATATATTTAATTTCAGCTAGTTGTCAAAGCAATATTTCTCATTTTCATTCAGTTTAACTTGATATACTAAAATATATGGAAGCCCATTGCCACCACAGGATAAAAAAAAAAATAATAATAATAATAATAAAAAAGGTCATTGTTACTTTTTATCTCACTATTTAGATTTTTCAGAATAGCAAGATACAAACTCAGAATTGAGATATATGCAAAATATAAACTTAGAATTTTTTTTTTTTTTCAATTTTGATGCAAATTTTAAAATGTTGCAGGTAATTGCAACTTTCTATTTGTTTTTATCCCTTGGTGGAAAGAAGCTTCCATAACAATATTAAAAATAAATAAATAAATACTATAGAGATATAAAAAAAAAAAATAGAATTGACAAAAACACAACAAAAAAAAACTTCAACTTTAACTACAATTTAAACAGACCCTTTAAAATATGAATAAAATAGCACTGGTGCAGCTGCAGTTGTTAAGGATATGGGCTGGACACCATGCGGATGCACCAGCTGCGAGGACACGTGGTCTGTTTGAGGCAGAAGAAGACGATGGGTGCTAGTTCTGGGTACGGGACGACCAGAGCGCTTAACTCACTGCTGACATCATCAGCCACCTGCTCCGCAGGCCCCGCCTCTTCTTCAACAAGCCCATCCCAGCCAGGAGAGGCACACAGGTCCATGTGTGGCTCCGCCCCCACCACGGCAGGCCCCTCCTCCTCTGATGTCATGGCTTTGGACCCGCCTACAATGAAAGAGACAGTTAATGATCACACAGGTTCCTGTCGGAGAAATCAAGTTAAACTAGTTTAAAGTAGAACACCTAGTTCTCAAACACTTTCTCTTAAGTCTCTGGAACGAATTATTCCTGCACACATTTATCTATTCATACAGATGAACAAAAATAAACTTATTTTGCTGAGCGGTTGGTAAAGGTGGACCACTGGGTGAAAGCTAAATAAACGGGTTAGTAATAAATCCTCCTGTAGCTGCACATAAAGAATGAGCTGCTCTGAATGGAGAACAAACAAATCAACACACAGTGATGTTCAAGCACTGCATCGGTCCTGCTCGTGATCGTGTGATGCTGCAGTCATCATAACATTTACGCATACTTACAGTAGAGAAGCATACGCGATCAGTCTTCATCTATGTGAACGCTTGTGTTCGTATGATTGTCTGACCCTTGTTTGCTAAGGGGTTTAAAGTAATTAATTCATTCTGCTCTTCAGATCTCAGTTCTGGTTAAAGGAACAGTTCAGCCAAAAATGATCACTGTCATTATTTACTTACCCATATGAGATATTTCAATGCCTTTTTTGTTCATACTAAGAAAATCAATTGGGTCCAATATTATTGCTTACATTTATATCTCCTTTTGTGTTTGAACAGGTTTGGAAAGATATGATGGAGAGTAAATGATAACAGAATGATCTATTCTAGCTGAACCATGCAATTAATGCTATTAATGTGTGTGTGTGTGTGTGTGTGTGTTCAGTGTGTGTGCGTGCATGCGTGTGTTCAGTGCGTGTGTTCAGTGTGTGTGTGTGTTCAGTGTGTGTGCGTGCATGCGTGTGTTCAGTGTGTGTGTTCAGTGTGTGTGCGTGTGTGTGTGTGTGTGTGTGTGTTTGTGTCCAAATGTCCACACAAGCACAGTAAATCAGCTACTGTACATTCTATGGAGTCAACAGTCTCAGATGAATAAACACATTAAATCATGTTTTCATTCATATGTAAAAATGCAGAGAGGTTGCAGTGCTGCTGTCTGTGGGTTTCCAGGTCAGACAGACGCTGCTGGAGCCAAACACACACACACACACACTGAACACACACACACACACACACACAC